CTGCTCTATCTTTTACTAAATTCCATCAGTCTTCACTACTTCACCATTTATGCATAAACAGACAGTCTAGGCATATAGGAATTCTTGTGCAGCTCTCTGGAGTCAGGTAAGGAGTCAAAAGCCCGTGTTAGGTATGCTCCGTGCCACCTCTCTCTCTCCCGCTCCCTCTCTTTACACTACCCTTTAGTCGCACATAGGCATCCCAGGTATGCGGCACAGCTGTTTCCTGCTCCAGCTGATGAGTGATGATGCTATAAAACTGTCAGACAAACGCCACCCCAGTGCCAGTTTGTTCTGTATTGGTTACGCAGTGGACAGAAGAGTACCTTCAGTCTCAACCCGGGACATAACTCTGGACCACGAATCTTCCCCCACGTCCAAACCTCCTGCACAAGAACACCATGGATCGACGTCTCCTAGCCTGTGACTGACTTTTTCGTGTCTCTTTTTCTCTCAGGCTCTGCGTTCTTCCTCCTGCCTCCGCCGCCATTCAGTCTTCCGAGTCAGGTGTCGAGCAGAACTTCTGAATGCTGCGGGTCCGGATCTGATTCCCCGCTGATCTTCCTCGGCCCCGGCAGCCAATTATTCTTCTTTTGTTTTCTCTGTGTCCTTCCGGGGAAATTAAATTTGTTTTGAGTCGCTTCCTGCCTACCTGAACCCTGTTGTTCTTACCCTGTTCACTCTCCCTCCCCCGGTGTCGAGAGAGAGAACGTAACAGCCAGAGAGAACACTTAGTCTTAAAATAAAGTTACAAAGTATTAGAACACAATACACAAAATAGGGTAATAGTATTTCCCACAGTGAACTTCAAACATCACACTTAGTAATTTACATGGTGGAGTTGAATATAGCAGGTAATTCATTACCAAGCGTAATCAATCTCCCTCCTGGAGATCAGTAAAGTCTGATCTTAATTTCACTGCACCAAGAAGTTGAGGTGCATCACAGAACATTTCACTTTCTTTTTTGGCAAAGTTGTGTGTTGTCAGTCAAGTCTAGTCAAAAGTGAAAGTGAGGTATGTTTTCATTTGTTTCATTCCACTGTATTAAAACTGTGCTTCATTAAAATATTAGGTTATATCATCTCACATTAGCATTAAAGTGTGATGTAAACTCTCTCCCTCTGCACAGACACACAGGAAGCTCATCAACAGATGTTTAAACATGAGTTCATGTTAACGACATTCAATTAATTCAATGACATTCTGACAGCACCACCTGCTGGTGAGATAACAACATGACATTTACTGATAATTTAACCAATGACTCGGGTAAAAGAAAGTGAAAGTAGATTTGAATATTGCTGAACACGACTGAGACGCCATTACAGGGTGTGAGATTTCTGTATTTAACGACTAATTCAGAAGAATTTAACCAGAGAAAGGAAAGTAATTTGGTGAGTCGTGTTTCTTTCTTAAATTTAATTTACACACAAAAGAAATAGCTGAAAAAGTTGCTATTCTTGAAAGTTTCCTGAGCTGCAATGTCCCTTTATTTTGTTTGTCTGGGTCAAGAACACCAATACAAAAACTGTATTGTTCTTAGGCAAGAGGGAAATATTAATTTCTGATTCACAGTCTGACAGCACCATCTGCTGGTGACAATATGTAACAGCACTTTCTACTTGCAATAATTTAACCAATGACAGAAGTCACCTGCTGGGAGACAAAAAGCTGCACCATCTGAGACAGAGGAGGAGAGAAAGGTGGAGGTGGTTTGTAGTCAACATCAAGAAGAGCCCAGATTGTTCTGTGAGGACGAGCAGAGAGCTGTGTGTCCTGTCTGTGAGTTTTCTCTCCACCACAGTCACAAGGTGGTTCCTGTAGAACAAGCAGTCAGTGAGCTGAAGGAGCAGCTGGAATCTGACTTAAAGTCTCTACAGGACAAGAGGGACAAATACAAACAAGTGGAGAAAACATACAGTGAAATGATTCAACACTCCAAGAAGCAGCTGTTGTCCACAGAGAAGCAGATCAGAGCAGAGTTCAACAAGCTCCACCAGCTCCTGAAAGAGGAAGAGGAGTCCAGACTGGCAGCTCTGAGGGAGGAAGAGGAGCAGAAGAGGAAGACGATGAGCAAAGAGATGAAGAAGATTGAAGAGCAGATCTCCTCTCTGTCAGACAGTATCTGTGCTGTTGAAGAAGAGCTGCAGAAACACAAGGTGCCGTTCCTCAGCAGTTATAAAGCCACTCAGAGCAGAGCCAGAGCCCAGTGCTCACTGTCAGATCCACAGCTGGTCTCAGGAGCCTGCAAACCCCTGGCTCCATCTGTCTGATGATCTGACCAGTGTGAGACATGAAGACACATGTCAGCAGCTCCCTGACAACCCAGAGAGAAACACTTACTATGGCTCTGTTCTGGGCTCTGAGGGTTTCAGCTCAGGGAAACACAGCTGGGAGGTGGAGGTGGGAGACCATCCTCACTGGAATGTGGGTTTGGCTAAAGAGTCAGTTGACAGGAAGGGAGAGTATCCCGCTTCACCAAAATATGGAATCTGGTGTTTATGGCATGGTGATGGAAAATACATTGATGTTGTTGATCAGACTGTCAGAGTGAAGCAGAGTCT